AAAAGATAGAAACATAGTCACATATAATCTTGTCGACTATAATACAGTGATTGAGATCAACGACCTTCGACAAAAACATTTACAATGGCTATTGTACAAATGAAATAATCTCAATCGCATTTTGTATTATTGATTTTCATCAAGACTACATAACGTAGCAATTTTCATAGTTAATTAAGTAACATTGTTATTATTTTTTTCAAAATATTATATAAATTTCTCTAAATATAAATATTATTTCTAAACATATGTATTATATTTTATTACGTTATATTATATCTCATATATGATGATTTTTTTATATGGATTCCTGAAATCAAGGTCGCATATCATATTATAAAAATAAAGTTGCTTTCCACGTTCAACAAATGGCAACTTGCCAAAATAGAAAACAGCCTCGAACAAATGCTATTCAAATCCAAAAATATTAACCACAGAAAAAAATAACTACAAAAGGAAATTGTAATTAAAATTTATCATTAACTTTGTTTCAAATAATGATAATTAATAACACAAAATAATATAATATTAACAATTTATTTATATTTCAAATAATTAGATCCTACATAAAATAATGTAATAATTGTAACAAAATATAATTATTATGAAATATAATTACTATCTCATCAACTGTTTTCTACATTGATAAGCTAATATTACAACATAGAACACAAAATAACTTAGATATTTTTATCTCTAGTCATTGATTATATAGTTTTAGTAGAAAGGAATTAAAAAGTAATCTGTAATACTACATTTTCTAGGGGATTTTATTGCTTGTTATTTCTTTTTTTCCTATGAGATGGCTATCATTACTATATTTGAACCTTGACATATATCTATAAACTTTCTAAAGAGAAACTAATCACACAAAAATATTTAGTTATATTTATATAGATATATATTACAACATTTTAAATATTTATAATAGAATTCTATATCAAATATTGTATTCTAAAAATAGATAAATTATGGTTTTTTAATGAGATACAACTGCACAAATAAAAATATGTTTCAAATTTATAGAATATATATATTTATTATTATTGATATAATAAAGATCTATAAGCTTTAGTATTATAGAGGAAGAAAACGTAATCTAATACAATATAAAATATCTTCTGCATTTATGCATATAAGTCAGCCAATTGCTTATATATAACCGTTGTACATTAATGTGCATTAACATTTCCATAAGTGAAAAAACAAGTATACTCTATTACTATATATCTACTAAGTATACTATACTAAAGCCACATGCATATTACTTTTCGAGATAGTATGATAGAAAGAAAAAATACAAGTCAATCCATAATTCATTTGATCTCATAGATCGTATTTCTATTACTGTCAACGAAAAATCATACTTTGCAGATACAATTACACGCACATGTTTCACGTGGATTCGTGTGATTATATAATAAATTCACTTGTTAAAAAGTGTTATTTATGAAAAAGGAATATTATAAATAAATAAAAGTTTAAAAAGAGATTAAATAGGTTAATGCATTTTAACGAATTTTTTTTAACAAATGCATATTTTATATCTTTTATATATTTATGCAAAAAAGATTATATTAATTATATTAACTATTATCTGTAGATTTTAAAATATATCAATGAAAAATATTAATGAAAAATGACTATTCAAGGGCGTGGTTTACCGGTCAGTATGACGTCTGAACACGACGCGTGGCCTGTCGTCGAATGAAGCGCGCGAATACAATTAGTAACGATCGCAAGTTCAATGAATTAATCGATAACACAGAAAAATCATATATAACAAATTTGATTTGAATATTTTTTATTTAAGTATCCTACACTTGCATTATCATCGAAACCATGTTGAATATATATATATAGATAAAAAAAATCAAAAAATGTTACTGACCTCGGTTGCTAGCTTTCCTTTCGACGCCATCTTGACAACAATGATGGCTGTCGGTCGATGTTCCGACTACCTGCTGCACACGCTACACTTATGATGATCAAATGAATCCTACGATTATGTACGATATACACTAATATTCAATCGCAAGCACACCTGAACCGAACTTGAACATTCACTTTCGTCGGATTAGAATAAATTGTATGCGAACACAATTTCGTAACGATGTTTCACGCAACTGTACCGAAATACTGTGCTGACGTCACAGCACGAAGCTTCTTTTCGTACTACACGTAGTACGAGGAGTACGAGTTTACAAGCGATACGAAGGCACCCCGACTCATCACAATCATGCCCCTCCACTTTGAACGACCGATACAAGTCCCTTTCACTCACTCACTCTATAATTATAATACGTAATTCTTTCCCCTTCTCATGACATATTATACACTCTTTCACTCTATTACGTTCTCGCAAAAGCATACTCGTATAGTTATCCTTTTTCATTCTGAATAATCTTTCTTTATTTACAATACATTGATATTCACGCGTTAAAATTATATATAGAACTGTATATTGTCTGTTTTCATTCTCAAATTATTGATAATTATTGGAAAAATAGTTAATAATTTCGTCATTTCCGTATAATATTCATATATATATTTTGTTGCGTATAAATTAATAAAAGAATTCATGAGATTGAGGTTAGGTGTTAGAAATCATCATGTCCCACTCTGTTTCTTTCTTCATTGAGGTTCCATCGGGGTGAAGGGAGATTCACTTTAATTTAAAGCGAATTAACCTTCCTGCACACTTTTGCCCTCACTGATCTTCCTTAGTTAAGTGCGGTCAAACGTCACATTCTTTTTACGAATTTTAAACCGCACGGAAACGCGCCATACTATGACATAAATATCGAATTATTATATCGATCGGTAAAAATGATACTCGATCTATTCGATAAATTTGCTGCAGTAGAAAATTGTTTTCGAGATTATTAAGAAGTAATTTTGTGAAGATAGTAGATCATAAAATAATCAAATTACTTTGTGAGTATCACAGTCGATTAATTTAACATAGAATTAAAGTGTCGCCTACGTTTCGAGTTTGATTCTTCATTTATTTTCTGCTCACGCAGCTATGTTACGAACACTATTCGCAATATGATAGGATTGTATCGATATTATAAATGCTGAATGTTAACTGTAAATGGATAATGGATAGAATGGGTGAGTTTCATATAATATATTCCATTACTTATATTAAATTTGAAATCTGAGAAATTATTATGATTAATTTTAAAAAAATTAAGTATCTCTGAAAATATTTTTAAAGTACAGAAATCTACATAGCCATCTGTAATACTTAAGAAGATTCATTCTATAATATAATCTCTGCATCCGTACATGCAAATATTCAGTCATTTTTCACCCGATACATTACCATCGGATGCTTTAAGAGAAAACATTCGTGTAGAAAGGAGCTTCACTCAAGAAGTTAAGCGCATGCAAAGCTCGCATTTCCTTGCATTTGTATATTCCATCTCTTTCTTTCTTCTCTGTCAATACTTTTCATCGTATCGCGTTGTCTCATTCGCTCTCTTTGCAAGATTACACATATATGTATATATGTATTGAGACATACTTTAAAGGCATCTGTGTGTGACATTGCGCGCGACCTGTTTATTTTCGGGCTGGTTCTCATATGCGAGGCACGCCTAGACTCCTGAATCATTATTGACAAACCTTTGGTGGAATCGGTATTATATGTACACGTGCTATAAAGTGAAAGATATGAGAGAACAAAGATGAAAATAGAGAATAAGACAGAAGGACAAAAGAAATATGTACGAAGAAGAGAATGCGAATCCCATGTAGTCTTGCGTGGGTCGGTAAATCCATTTCGCTCTCATGTTCCCTTTTTAGCGGCCGATTCGAACGGAACCAGTGATGGCTATAAAACGGAAGCAACCATACATAGAAGTTTTCTTTTCTTCTTCTTTTTGAATATATATGTTTTCCATAATATGTATTTACTGCATTCACAAACGGTAATATTATTTCTATTTTATCTTACATATTGATTTGTTCCTGTAAACGTCATCCACATAGAAATATATATAGGAATAAAAAAGGATTAATTGTTCAAAGCTATAAACGCAAACAATTGATGTGAAGTGCATATTCTCTATACAAAAAAGATTATGGATGAGAAATGAAAAAGAAAATAGACTTAAGAATATGGACTTATCAGTTAATAATCAATTTCTGTTAATAATCAATCAACTAATTTGATTAAATTAACTGATTCAAGTTGATATTTCGTAGTTATCTTTTAAATCATTCATTTAAAAAGATATAAAATTAGAGAATATACTTCTTCTTTTTTATTTTTAAAAAAGAAATTATTCAAATACTTGAACGTGTAATTAATTAATTTTGAATATATGTTTCATTGAAAATTCATTAGCTTGAAAATTAATAAGATTTCTATCTTTTAAATAATGGACTGTTTATAAATTACAAGTGAAATAAAAAGAAATAATTGATAATCCACAGAGCAAAATTTCGAACAAAATTATCCAATATATCCAATGAATATTCAATAAATTTCCATCAGAATGAGCAACTACAAGGCTTCATCATAGTAGAAAATTCTTTCTCGTGGTCGACGCAATTTCGACCATAATTTACTTAATAATGGAATCAAATAATAATATACACACAAACTATTATTTCTTTTTAAAAATTTGTTACTTCAGAAATTTTTATCTATTGATTTTAATGATATATTTTTAATTTTATTTTTTTAATTCTATCTATTTTCTCTTTTAATCTAAGTAATTATTTTATAAATATATTATTTATATTTATAAAATAATTATTATAATATTTATATAAATAATATATATATAATATTTATATAAATAATTTTATATAAATATTTATATAAATTTTTAATATTTAAAAAGAATTTATGAAATAAATATTTAAAAAATATACGATTAAACACAAATTGAAATATCTTTAAAATTTAAGAATAGAGTTTTTTGAATTCTCGACAATTGTTCATAGTAAGAGTGTGTTTAAATGTGTCACTAGATATCTTTCAGAGCGACCGGGTCGATCGTTGTGCAGGGATGTGGGTCAGGCATACGCCCGAACCCCCTGGATTTTCATCTCGTCCCTTTCTCCGATAAACATAGATTTGTAATGCGTAATTCTGACGCAACATCATTTGTCTCCTATCTTATAAAATTCAATAATCCATTCAAATATTTATTTCAGAATATTCTCTGGAATCTTCGGAACTTTTTACAAAAAAATTTTCTTTATGACGGTCATTATCTAAACTCGATTATGTCTACTTATCTTGGAAATAGGAAAATAAATTTCGTCTGTCATGAAAGTGTAATTAGGTAACTTAAGATCCTCGTTAAAAACTTTTTAATTTTATAATCATGTTAGTTTATCACTATCTTTTTCATGTATTTAAAAAACGAATAATAATTTCAAAAAATATGCAATCAATAAATATACAATGTGTTCAAAAAGTCAATAAAAAGTATTGATATTCATTTTTATTTTACTTATTTAATATTTTATTATAATAATTCATAAATAATACAATCATATTGTAAAATCGTATAACCGTATTTTAAATTTTAGTCGACAACCTTAGCTGGGATCTTGAAGCATACTTGAGATTTGTTATTTTCGTCAACAAGAGATAATTGGATGGTCAGAGCGACTTTTGGATAGGTTTTCAAAACTGGCATTTTAAGGTAATAAGTAGCTGCTTGCCCAGTTTGCAATGGGCATTGCCCGTTCACCAGATTCTTGCAAGCGTTTTGTTCTGGGAGTGGGTATTGCAAATGGCTACTTCCTAGGTCAACATCTACTACGGGTTTCAGAGTTTTCGTGTTTGCAACTGTAACAGATTATTAAATAGAAAATATAACATACAATTTAATCATGACATGAATATATTTATAACACGATAATGCTGTATCACATTTTAATTAATTGTATTGTTTAACGTCTGTTACATTATTCTATCATATATATTTTATATTGTAATTTTTGCATATATAATAAAAAAGATATTAGAATTTGTTTTGATTGTTACATAACACGTATTAGGAATTTGCCTTTCATTATTTTATAATAGTTTTAGATCTTATTTTAATATTTATAAATTGTATTTTTACTTACCAGCTTTAAAGTCAACGTTAGCCTCAACATTAGTTCCTCTAACCAAATTGCAAGGCAGACTATCGCAACCTAAAATCTTCACATTCGTTGGGGCTGGTTTACCGTCGCAGGGCACGTAAGCTTGCATCGAGTTGGCGATGAAGAGCACCGCAAATACGTAAACTGCAATCACAAGTGTGTATACTTCATTAAGGATTATAAGGATTAATAATTAAATAATAGAATAGAAATATAAATTTGAAATAAAATTTTTTCTGAAATTCCAAAAAAAATTCTATTCTCTTTGAATATCTCTATTAATTTATCATTTCAAACTCTTATTAAGTTAATATCTCTTAAAATAATATTTCTATAGCTTTGAACATTATCAAATTTTCTAGATACGTACAATATGTAAAATATTAAAATTAATAGTGATGTTTTTCATTCAAAATTAAATAATATTTAAAAAAAAGTAATGAAAATTTATTATTTTATTAGTGTTCATAAACTAATTAATACATACCATAGGTGAGGATTGCCATTTTGGATTGCTACTTCTTTCGTGTTCAAAGTAACTGAAAATCATTGGATTGCGGGTAGGTATTTATTGGCGGTTACTATCTAATCGAATCATCGAACATCAAAAACGATTATCATTGACAACTTTTGAAAACACTTCAAAAACACACCTGACATCCAAAGAACTATGTCTGCGATATATTTTATCGATAAAAATTGTAAGGTAATAAAGCAATATTTGTGTTCATTCAATCAAGTAAAATCTATCCTCTATTTCTTCTTTTGATAATCACGATTATCATTGCAGGTGGCAGCTGTGAAAACTAAATCTTTGTGTACTTTACTATCATGCCACATTGACTTTTTGTTTTAAGTAATTATTATTTTATCGATATAATTTTTAAATCACACGTATTAATTGGATTCGAATTTGCTCATTTTTAAGAATCATTAAGAAAAACTGTCCCATATTAAATTTCTTTTAATTTGAATAAACACAAAACACATTTCTAAATTTCTTCTAAATATTTCTATTACATATACGATAAGAAAGAAAAGAAAAAAAATTCAAAATTCCAAGTTAAATGAATTAAAAAATTATTTATTTCATTTAATACATAACAATTTTATTTTTATTTATTTTTATTTATAAAAAATTTTTCTTTTTATACAAACATAAATATTCTCGATTAAATTTTTAAATTAAATTAATTTTTCCCAATCCATGGAACTTGTTGAATCATTAACATTTTTTCGTCCATAAAGGGGCTTGTATAAATTTCTGGACCAGTCTATCTCGCAAACAAATCGGCGAGATCATAAATAAAGTGTGATAAATGAAATATCGCCATGATTCATTCCTAAATTGACATTTAAAAAAATATGTTAGCCATGTATGTGATAAAAGAACGTAGCGCTGATTAAAAAAATTTAAGATTTTACGCGCAACTGATTTTTCTATTAGCTAAGCTCAGGTGTTTCGATGCAGGTGTTAAACGAAATGAAAAATGGCATTACATCATGAAGATGTTTATCAAAATCAACAAGATAAGTAGTATAAATTTTAGTCTTAGTAATTTCATAATCATACGATTCAGTCAACGAAAATCTACACTCATATATATTATTTCATTCGTTTAACACAGTAACATATTTTATATTTTATATTTTATAATTATTTGTAATTAATATTAGATTATTAATATTGACTCGTTTTTTCTTGAATTACATTCATTTTTTAATTGTTCAAAATTTCATTCAATAGACATACTTGTAAATTGCCGATGGATATTTATCTAGGAGAGCACCTTCGAAAATCTCGTAGATACCCTTGTCTTGTAGCTTTTTCAAAGTCGTATCTTGTCCTATAGAAGTGAAATATTGCGAATATCTGGTGAAATAATCACCGTAAAACGTTTTCGCCTCCTCGGACATCGATCTTCTCATCGTCTCGAAGTGTTCAACTTGTCGTGTTAATATATTGCTCTCATTTACGAACGAACCTATGCGAATATACGAGGTAAGCGATTATTCTTTCTAATAATTTGTAAACATTATTCGTATAACACATATTAAAAAATATTTCAGAGAAACAGAACAGAGTTTATCAAAAAATATATCTAGAGATAATTCTTTTTCATCGAACGAAATTGTTAGGTAAATTATTATTGTAAATATAAAAATCATAATAATAAAAGGATGGAAAAATATTATTTTTGCATAAAATTGTTCTATTCCTATTGAACAATTTTTTATAGTTTAATTCCAGTAAATTATTTTTTGATTACGGACCAGGGATAAAGCGAACGACCTTGATGCCATACTTCTTCAACTCCATTCTAATGGCAGTGGCCCAAGCGTTGAGGGCAGCTTTTGTCCCACTGTAAGCTGCTACTCCCGGAATCGGCTGGATGTTACAGTGGCTCGAGATTACGATAATCCGGCTGAAGTGAGCGCGAATCATCGGCATCAGTTCTTGAGTGATTCTCATAGTGCCCAGCAAATTTACTTCTACTTGATTCCTAAGCTGCTCGTCTGTTTGCCATTCGAATTCGCCGAAGATCATTATCGCCGCATTATTGATCAAACACCGTAACACTAAAACCAGTATTCTCATGTGATCGTTTATCCTTTTCTCTTTTTCGAATTCATATTCTCAATTATTCAATTATTTCTTTATCTTATCTTGATTTAAGCATATATATATATATATATATATATATCGACTACACAGAATGTTCATGTTATTAATTTTTCTAAATATATTTTTTTAAATGATACATTTCTGAAAAGAATAGCTTTTAAGCAAAATTTTATTATTAATATTGTGAAATTTTTCTATTTTTTTCATAAAACATTTATCTAAAAAATATTAAGAATTAATAACTTGAGTATCTATATCTGTATGCATATATATATATGTTTGTATGATTATATTTTAACGCAAATAAAATTTACCTAAATTATTTTGCGTCAAGACTGTTCGAACAGAGTTCGCAAAATTTTCAATACTCTTAATTTTTGTTACATCTAAGGGATAAACGAGCACATTTTCGTTTTCTAATTGTTTAGCTCCGGGTCCATCGATTTGCAATACACTAGCGATTACAATTGCCCCAAGCTGCCGACAATGCAGAGCCAGACTATATCCCAATCCTGAATCGCAACCAGTCACGATAATAGCATGATTTGAGAATATTTTATCCCGAGATTTAATACAGCAATATAAGTAAGTAGCACCTGAAAAATTATTTTAAATATTTTTTTTTTTTTCCAAATCATAATAGCATCGATAATTAAGAATTTGATGATAATATCATATTCTTTATTAAATGTTTACAATATTTAAATGTTTATCAATTAAATATATTAAACGATTTAATAACAGCACGTTATATTGAATTAACTTTCTCGCTGATGACGCATATTGATAAATACAATCTACCGGTAAATAGATAAGGGATAATAAAATTAGAAACATAAAGTCAAGTATTATTCATATTTCAAAGATATATCTGATATAAATCTCATCTTTAATTTCTATTATGATATAAAAATATTAGTGATAAAATATTCTTTTACGAAAATTATAAATCATTAGTAGTAAAACATAATTGATCTTTATTTAAATTACAAAATTCTTACCGATACCACATAAAGAAATCGTTGATGCCAAATATTTGTATCCCTTGTTCCACAAATAAAAAAGGGCAATAGAAGTTGTTAGATCGGTTATAAATACCGTAGAATATGTTTTAATATACTTTATAAATCGCATTTTTAAAATTATCAGTCGTAATTCACCTCAAAGATAATACTAATCTTTCAACTTGTTGATTGAAAATTTTTCTACTTTTTATTTATATGTACAAAATCTTTTTCAAAATAAAAAAAAAGATGAAAACTAAAAATAATACACTCAATATATTAACAAGAAATATAAATAAAATATTAATACGTTACATGTAAATCTATGAAAAAAGTTAAAATTGAAGTTCAAATTTTTTATTAATACTTATTTATAACGGAAATAAATAAGGAGGAATGTTTCCGTTTTAAATGAAATATACGATTTGATAATTAAATTTAATAATAAATAATAATAAATTTTTCACAATATAAAAATCACTTGATCACTGCGCATTATTAGAATATAGAATAATAATAAACACGTGAAACGAAACGATAGTATCCTCGTCTTGATCGCAAATGGCTGCTATGGGACGTGAAAAGAAAGAAAACAAAACATCCCCACTCTTCTACTGTAGTTCACAGTGATTCTTTTAAAATTCGAAAGAAAATTTATAAAATTTGTGCAATTTCTAAACAAAATAACAATTATTTAAGCGTGATATAATATTTCTATTTATTACAAAAGTAAAGATATTTTTTTCGTTTTTTTTTTTTTTGTATAAAGTATTTTTCTTTAATATAAAATTAATTCAATATATCAGTTTGATCTGTTAAGAGACTTTAATATTTCATGAACATTCTCTCTTGGATTTATAGTGAGATTCTCATTTAAATTGTAAAAATGTCAAATCACGCATGAATAAAAGAAATAGGATAATTTTCTGCTATAATTTTTTTCTATAATAAAAATATTATTAAAAACAACTGAAAGGATTTCTTATTTTAATACATGTATTCCTACTCCTTTTAACAAAATTGAAAATATTAGAATTTGGAGAATATTAGAGAACAGTCACTTTAATTAGATTATAATGTTATTTTAAAATAAATGTAATAACATAAATAATAAAATTATGTGTTTTTGATTAAAACCGCTATCACAATAAAATCTTTTCTGAATATAGCTTATTTCTATTGACGGCAATAATATCGGGAATATAAGAACTGTTTTCGTTTAATCTTCGCGCATGATGATATAAAAAACTAACTGATTCATATAATCACAAAATTTTTTGTAAATTTATAAGTCTTTACAGATCGAAATATACAGCTTAACATTAAGGTATACTTTACACAAAAATCAACAGATATTAAGGCTAGCAATACATTATATCTTATGTTAATTATTCTTTTAGAATGAAATTATAAAACAATGAATACATATTCGTTCGACTATAGTCGTTATTCGATTATTTTACAAGCTTCAATTATTGCTTCCACACATATTATATGCTTCATTTATATTATATTCTCATAGTTTTTTTAAATTTTGATTTTAAAAAAACTAGAGAATATTAAATACCAGCAGATTTGTCGGCGACTAAAATATTAGGATCCGCATGAAGATCGTAACTTGGATCGCCATCTGTAGCCATCCTTCCGAGCCATGAGAAGAGAATTAACATTCCGATAAAAGCTAATATACCCATAATACCTAGCACTGCATATCTCTTGTACAATGGTCCAGGTGAATTTCTACGCCGTGTTGGTGGACTAACTATCAATTTCCACCATCTTAAGAACCATTCAATGGCAGATTTTCTTCTATATTTATTTTCATCATGATCAAAAGATATTTCTTTTGGATCATCATAAGCTTCACAAACTTTTCTTGATGTTGGTTGTGATAATCCCATAGACGAATCAATATTTACAATTGAATAGGGTGGCCCAACTTTTTGATTATTTAAATGCACATTATTTATATTAGTATGAACTGAATTAACATTGCTAATAGAACGTGATGTAGTTGTTGATGGTGATGAAGTTGTATGATTTTGATATGATGTAGTTTCAATTCTTAATGAAGGATGCTCTTGTTCTGGTTTTTGTTCCCTATCTTCACTGAGCTAAAAATAATTTTTAATAAATTGATATTTATTTATTCTTAATACATATATATATAAATAATTATATAAATAAATAAAATACATACCAAAGGTAAACCTAAACCAGCACGTGCCCAATTTACTCCTGCTAATTTTTCTCTTAATACATCTGCTACAGGAGATACTAATTTTGAATCTGGAAATATGCGTTCTTTACAAGTTGGACATGTGTATCCTGCTGGTGCAGTAGTTGCTGGTAATTCTCTGGCATATTTATCCAAACATGTCCAATGATACATATGATAACATGTTAATCGTACACAATCTCCTTCACTTAAATTTACTGAACATAATGTACAAATTGGATTATAATCATGATCATGAAGCCACAAAATATATGACTGAACAATACACTGAAAAAAAAAATATAAATATTTATAAATATCATCAAAAAAAACGAAAAAATTAAATTACTTATAAATTAATTAAGTTTATAAGTAATTTCTTTATATGTATTAATTTTGTATTTATGATTTTTTTTATTAAAATAAGTTCTTTATAAATTATTTCTTAATTATATAATATATATTATTCATAATAATTTATATTGAATAATAGTATATAATATTATAAAGTATTATATACCTTTGGATGATTTGTGACCATACAATGTTCACAAACATTGACACGGTGTTCAAAACAAAATAGGTTTGTAACTCTTCTTTTCGGACACTTGCACAATCCCATAATTATAATAAAATAACGTATTTATAACATTAAATAAATTATAACAATTCGGTAAAAGACTAGTTAATTAAAAACACTTTTACAAATATGTATTTTCACATGACATATCGTGGCCTTACAAAAATTTAAGCTTCTTATATGATGCGGCTTCCATATTTCGATAGCCACGTCGTCTGACATTTCATACAAATATAGATATATGAACCAATAAGAATCTTTTATGTGGATATCAAATGAACATATGTACATGACATAAATACATACGTATTTTTCATATAAATTTTTTAATGATAATTTATATAAAAAAAAAAAAATATCACTTATAAAAATAATATCAAGAAAAAAATTCTTTTTCAAATTCCAAAAATTATCTTTATTATTTCATAATATTCTAATATCTAATATCTAATATAACACGATAAAATAACAATAATTATTAAAAAAATAATAATAATCAAAATATAAATATGTTTAAAGCATAATGTTCATTATTCTTTACAATAATTTTAAATTAATTAAAAACATATTGAGTATTTACATAGCGAAGTATCAGATAGACTAACTTTTAATGAAATTTTATTTTTTATATTCTAAAATACCAATCACGTAAAAAAATTAGAGTATTTGAAATGCTCTCAACAATTATTAAAGTTGAAAATCAATAGATTTTAAAAATTTTTTTAATTATTCATTCTTTCATAAATATTCTAATGCATTATATTGTATAATATATCATTATATATTGAATTGTATTTAAAGGTATTTATAGATCTTTTGTTAATTACAAATAATAAATAAATTTATGTATGAATTATTTATGAATTAAAAATTATATATTGATATTTTTTATTAAAACACAATGAAAATAATATATAATTTATAGAATATATAAGATGTAGATGCTTATAATATATAAAAACTGAATTAAATTAAATAGATAAATTATTATTAATAATAATTAATAAATAGATTAAAATTTTTAATCGATAAGTTAGACAAGAAAAAACAAAATTAATTGAGAATAGTATTAAAATAATAAGAAAATCTTAATATTTTCGAATTATAAAAATCTTTTAAAATTAAAATGGCTGTATTATGTCGTATCATAAAATGTTTAGAAAAAAATATATTATCAATAGGACGAAATAGAAATATAACATTATCTGCAACAAATCATATCAAAGAAAGTAAGTAATATTAAGTAAAGAGAATTATTAAAATATAATAATATGTATTTCATGATTTTATGATTTCATGATTTCTAACCTATATTTTTAAATTTTGTAGTAATCGAAAAAAAAGAAGGAAACACTTTAACTATTGAAGCCGTAATAAAAGCAGATAAAAATGATGAACGATTTTTAAAACCTAAAAATGGGGCATGTCCTATTTGTTCTTCTGGTCTTGATATTAAACATACAGTGAGATTTTGATAATTTATTGTATATATAATATTTTGTCTGTTATATATTTTAATATTTTAATATTTTAGGATGTTCTCATTCTAAATCAATTTGTTAGATCAGATGGTTGTATATTGCCACGTAGAATTACAGGTCTTTGTAAAGTACAACAAAAAAGAATTAGTTCATTAATTCAAATGGCTCAATATGCAGGTTAGTTTAATAATAATAATATTAATAATAAATAATAAATTTAAAATATAATAACTATATAATTTATAACAAATAAAATAATTCATTTATTTATTAGGACTAATGCAAAGAAGAGCTCCTAATGGTGGTCTACTTCATCCTTTACAGAGAAGAAAGTGGAAAAAATTTAATAGTTATTATGATGAAAAAACTATTAAAGCTAGATATGTATAATAATTAATTGTTAATAATAAATTATAGAAATTATAAAAAATAATTTTATTATTATTATTTTAAATATGATTTTTATTATTACATATTTTTTAAATATTACATATTTACATATTTTAAATTATATATTTTTTATCGTATTTAAATGAATCCTGAATGAATGAATTGTTTATAATTAATAACTTTGTGTAGTCCTATTTCATTCTTTAAATTCAAATATATATAAACGTATAGGTTAAGAATCATGTTTACATCTAAATTAATAAAGACTCCATGGTATACGATTCAAAAAAGATACGTATCAAAAGGAACCACAATTATAAAAAAAGAACATGGAGAACACGAAATTTCGAAAATTCGAAACATTGGAATTTTGGCACATATTGATGCTGGTTCGTTTATGATATACTTGTCACTATTAACCTATACAAATTTTTATTTTTATGAATTCACTATTTTGATAATGATTTTCTAGGAAAAACTACTACCACAGAAAGAATGCTATATTATTCGGGTCTTATTAAACATATGGGAGAAGTTCATCATGGAAATACAGTAACAGATTATATGGATCAGGAACGTCAACGCGGTATAACAATAACCTCTGCAGCGGTGACATTTGAATGGAAAAATTATTGTATTAATTTAATCGATACCCCAGGACATATTGACTTCACAATGGAAGTGGAACAAACTTTAAGGGTATTAGATGGAGCAGTAGTTATATTAGATGGAAGTGCAGGTGTCGAGGCTCAAACATTGACAGTGTGTAGACAAGCTGATAAATATGATATACCAAGAATTATTTATATAAATAAAATGGATAGAATAGATGCTAATTTTGATACTAGTCTAAAATCTATTGAATCTAAATTGCACACAGAAGTTTTGCCTGTACAATTTCCAATTAAAGAAAAAGGAATTTTAGAAGGAATCGTAGATACTATTTCTTTAGAAAAAATTATATTTGATAAAAAAGACATGGGCAAGAAACTTTCTAGATTCAAATTAACTGAAGATAAGGATAAAGCTTTATGGGAAATGGCAAATGAAAAGCGTAGAGATTTAACTGATAAATTGTCCAATATGGATGACAAATTGGCTGATACAATTATAGAACAGGAATCTTTAGATGCAATAACACCACAAATGCTGGTTGATTCTTTATACAGGGCAACCATAAATAGAAAAGGTGTTCCTGTACTTTTAGGTAGTTCTTATAAAAATATAGGAGTACAACCTTTAATGGACAGTATATTACTATATTTACCATCACCCAATGCAAGTAAATATTCTAAGTATTATCATTGTTTTGATAATAAATTATGTGCCAGAGCATTTAAAGTCGTTCATGATAAACAAAAAGGACCGATCACATTTTTTAGAATTTATAATGGTAGCATAGAGAAAGGTACGAAATTATATAATGTTCGTACAGAAAAAAAAGAACAAGTAGGAAAATTGTATATCGCATACGCTGATGAATACGAAGAAATAAAAAAAATTTCACAGGGCAATATTGCAGCGATAACAGGATTAACAAGTACCTCAGCTGGTGATTTAATATCAGTAGGATCAACAGCGATAGAAGAAGCAGAAAAAAAACTGAAAGCGCAAAAAGATGTTAAACCAGAAGATGTGGATAAAATATTTGATTGCAATTCAAAGACAGAACCAGTTTTTTTCTGTTCGATAGAAGCACCATCGTTATCTATGCAAACAGCTTTAGAAAAGGCTCTCCAAGAACTTGAAAGAGAAGATCCAAGTTTGAGTGTTACTCAAAATGAAGAGACTGGTCAGATTGTACTTGGAGGTATGGGTGAATTACATCTCGAAATTATTAAAGAAAGAATTAATACGGAATATAAAATCGATGCCGATTTAGGCCCCTTACAAATTTCCTATAGAGAGACTATCAAGGAACCTATTCAAGATACTTTTTCGAGTGAATATAAAATAGGAGATATTAATACAAAAATTACAATAACAATGTCATTAATACCAAATTATGAAGATAAAGAGACTTTCTTATTAGACAAATCCATGGATTATATTAATACTAAAATACCAAAGAATATAATGAAAGTTGTGAAAAATAGTGTTAAATCAGTTCTTTTAAACGGACCAAAATTATCTTATCCTATCTTAAATATGGGTATTAAACTGCATAATTTAGAATATGGACCAGGTGCTACCTCGTCGATAATTAATGCTGCTGTTTCACAATGTATTAGACAGGTAATTTTTTTCCTTTGTTTTTCTTTGCATATTTATAATAAAGAAATATTTGAAATTATAAGTAATGACTAAAAAAATGTTGATAAGGAAAAACTGCTTTTGATTTTGAACTACAAGAAACTACAAGAAATGGCATTAAACAAAAGAAATAAAATTTTAATATTATTACAATTAATATTAAAAATAAATCAATTGATAATTAATTTTTTAATTTAATCGATAATCATATCGTTTAAACACTTTCGTCACGTTTAGATTGCTCGTCAATCTTCTTCATCTCAGAAATCTGTTTCTTTTCAGATTTCAATTCAGACAATAGAAGCAAAGATTTCGGTTTTCGTTCCAATATTCTTTTGCTTAAAATCTTTTTCGACAAATCGTTGTTAATCAAAGATTTCTCTTGAGGAAAAAAGTATCTATGCTTCCAGTTTTCCTGTATCATATTACTCTCTTTACGTTTTTCCTCATTGCATATATAAGTTTCCGTAAACGTTCGCAAAACACCAATTCTTTTTAATGCATCTTCTGAAATACGATTATAATTGAACGGTTTCTTCGAGTGTAATATTGGAAAAGCATAAGGCTTCATTGCAGTATTGTCTTTCAGTTCTGAGACTTGTAAAAGTTTAGTGTCCTGCCTGTTGAAGAATTCGTTGATCAATATATCTGTCTTGATCTGTAAATTTCTTAAAAAGTCTTCATCGGTCAATTTTGATACGGTAGAAACAATTTTAGAACAATTTTGTCTAGTAGTTTCTCCAGCACTTAGATCTTCAATGCTGAATTGTTTCGAGAATTTCAAATTGTTACTCTTCAATTTGCTCTTGATTTTTTTCACATTAGTTTGCGTAGCTCTTTCTACAGTATGAATGCCCCATTTTAGCATATAAGAATCAAGAAATTTGTGATATAACGTTGGACAAACTTCTTGATCGTCATAATGTTTGTCTATGAAATATATTCTACGCAAACGACAATTGCCGCAAATTTGAATTCTTTGCGCAGTAGCATATTCTTGCTTGAAAGCAGTTTGAGTTAAGCTTGCCAAATTCAATTCTAATTTATTCCAACCGGTTTCTAGCTTCACCTTCACGCGACAAATTACAGCCTTAGAATTTTGTTTCTCCGATTCCAAATTCGTGAATTGAAAATTATGCAAACAATTTTGATTATCCATTATCTAATTTGATATATAAACATTATTTATAAAATTTATTAAAATAAGAAATATATTTTTAAAATGATTATTATTATTTATAGAATATTACCTGCAATTGTATACGACATTGTAGATTCAAGTTCTTTATAACTACAACTAAAATTGGCAATTTGATATTGAGAAATTGAGAAGAATCAGAGGGACAAGTGATGGAAGTCCCATACCCATGTTGTTCGAAATCTTGTAACTCGATCACCTATCCATCATTTAATAGTAATTTAAAGTTCATTGATTAAAAGTAAACAATAGTTAATATAGTAGTAGTTATCAAAATTAACCTACATTTTCTAATAAATCCGAATCTAAGATTTTACGAATACGACCCGACTGTGACTGTTGCTTACTCCAATACTCTAAAGGTTTTTCGCTGATACTATATAACAAAGACACATATCCAGAAATCATGAAATTACGAAATTATTTCACAAAAGGCAAAAGCATTTGTGCAAATTTAATACTTTAAAATTTACATTTTTTTCTTCGTTTGTTTTCTTGTGACAGACTTCAAATACTTGATCTATATTCTTTTAATCTTTTCCCTATCAGAGAACAATTGTTTTTGATTTGTCTTATTTATAGATATTTATACATATTATTTGTACATATATGACTCGTTAATAATAGAAATAGTTATAACTTGTGTATGTATTTTAGTTAATGAAGAGTGCTGGCGTTGCTCTTTTAGAACCGATAATGCGATTGGAGATTGTAGTTCCTGAAGATTATTTAAGCGTTATCCTCAAAGACTTGGCAAAAAGGCGCGCAGAAGTAAAGTGCATTGATGTCTTTAAACAAAACAAGGTAAAAATATTCCTTCTTCTCTTTTAAAATAATAATAGATCAATACAAAAGTGATATAAGTATGAATTATGAAAACAGATAGTCTACTGTCTTGCCCCATTAGCCGAATTATTAGGATATTCAACGACGGTGAGGATAATTTCATCAGGACATGCAACGTTTACGTTGGAATTCGATCACTACGAAGTAATGGATTCAGCCAGTGAAGCAGATGCGATTAAAAGAGTAACTGGTTTTTATTAGTCGTTAAATAAAAAAATAAAAACTAAAAAACTCTTTTCAAAATCATACGATATCATTCAAATCAAATATTCGTTGTATTTTTAAGAATTTAATTGTACAAAGATAGATTTATGAAAATTATTTACAAATTAATGCGTTTAATAATTAAAATCATGAATGAATCAATTTTTTTCTCAATCTCTATCTCTCCGTAAAGAGATTTCCATACAAAGTAATCGGTACGATACACAAAATTAAAAACACATTATTATTCTTGGACAAAATTACATACTCGATTGTTCCTTTATTCATTCGATCTAATCAAAATATATTGCAGCATTTATCAATGGTGCTTTACAATTCTTCTTTCTTATTTACGATCATCGATCGCGGCCGCCGATTACGTGGCTGAAATCGAGCAGCTTGTAAAAATGGTATCTTTATCTAAAAATTTATACATAGTATATTTATATATAATAGTAAAAAAAGAAAAGGAAAGAAAAAAAAAAAAAGGGAGAAAATGTAAGAAAAAGAAGGGAAGTCTTATCGAAGAAATACCGGCCAGCCTCGCAAGCAGCAGCCGCGCATAAATATATTAATATTGCTTAAAGATCATGCAAAAATGTCATACATAGTAAAATATATGTATGTATATATATTATATGTATGGAGGGATTACATGTAATAGGGTGAGAGACTTGTAAACACGTCATTTGCACGTAAAAATCTTCCACTTCCGTTTGTACGCGTAATCGGAAGCGGTTTCGACGCGATTCTCAGTTTCTTGGGAATGCGACGAAAACAGGACTGAATTCTCGATAAAAAAAAATATATGTGTAATATATACATATATTTTCCCGTCGAGCCGCTGGTTTATTATCTTTGAATTGTGCTGTATGACGCACGATTGAAAATCAGGCACGATTCAAAGGTGTGGCCCTTATAAACGCGTTCTTAATCTACGAAATGGTTCTTGAGCGCTAAAACCGAACGTCTTAAACTTCTAAGCTCGGCTTATTTTTTTCAACTGACAATACAGTAATTATTATAAAAAATTAATTTTTCGCCAACCATGGCGATATTTTTTATATATAAAAAAAAAAAAAAAAAAAAAAAAAAAAAAAA